CAAATATGGCTCATCAATTCTTCGAAAATGCTATTTGTAGTGGAGTCTAGTTTCTACTTTGTGGGGTTTGAATCATGAAGACAAATCACTTGGTGCATGTTTAGTTTTTGTTGTCAATAATAATAACTGGTTAATACCAGTAGCCTTTATTTGTTTTTGTTACTTTTGTTGTCAAGGAGTACTGTCAGTTGTATTTTGCTTTAAAGAATTAGAGAAACCATTGAAATCAATGGTGTTGTGATGCAACCTAAGCTTGTAAACCTAAATTCCATCAATGGCCTTACCACTATATATCAATGACCTCTCTAGTTTGATCAAAGGAAGACAATACGTGTTCTGCACCCTTACATTCCAGTAAATGATCCACCATTCCAGCATTTAGAACAATGGGGACATGTGTGTTACATTTTTTGGCCATAAAGAGCTGCAAATTACAGCTATATGTTCTTCGGCACCTGGCATGAGAGAGAGCTTTCAACCAATTACAGCCACAAAATTTGCAAAAGTATTTATCGATTCACAGAAACTTGAGAACAAAAATTACAAATTTAAGAAAATGGAAGAACTCTAACTTTGGTGTGTCATTCATTGTTGGCTTGCACGACCCCCTCATTAAGAGTCGGAATTGGAGGCTAGGGCTTGAGACTTGATCTTGACCTTCGGGAAACTTGAAACTTTGAAACTTTATTTTAATGGGAGGGACTTTCCAACATAATTGGGTTTCTGATTTGAATTGGATCTCTAGTCTCTCTTTATTGAAACACCTTAATCTAGGGGAGATAGACCTCAGTTCAACATCAACCAACTGGTTGCAAATTTTAAACATGCTCCCTTCCTTGGTAGAGTTGCATTTGCCTTACTGCAATCTCTGAAACCGCCCTCCCTCTCTCAGTCCTGAACTTCAGTTCCATTATGATCATCAATCTTCACGGTAATGATATCAATTCATCATTACCTAACTGGTTGTTCAATATTAGCACCCTTGTTAAGCTTTGGTTGTCAGACAATGAAATTAGGGGCTCTTTAACCAATATCGATGCCTGGAAAAATAATCC